TAATAAAATACCATCAGAACACCCATCAAGGTCAGATTTAGATTTATTCATTTAGCAGATTCTCTGCTTTTGTCGAAATTTAGCCTTTTTCATGAATTAAATGAACTAAACTAAACTGAACTGAAACACCACAAACACACACAAACAAACACACACTGTAGTAGTAGCTCACACCAGCAAGCAGTGAGTACAAACAAAGATAAAAGCTCACACATTCCACTTAAAATTGATCACAATTCCAGAAAATGGGCAAGAAAAGACAGAATGATTGGCCTTCCTTGTCCATTTGCCACATTGTGTTTCATGTAAAAACACTTTAGTGAATCACAAAGACTTTGCAGTGTGTATTTAACGTGTGTATTTTCTATCAGTTCTTCACTGTAAAGCTGAATCAAACTGCTGATGTTCTCTGACCCTCACTGTTCCAGCAAGGCTTGAACAAAAACAGCATTTCGTGCTCAGCAAACACAGCAACAGACTGGTCTCCCCAGGTGTTCCCAGTCTTTCCTGTGGACACACCAACCTTCAGTATGACCCGTCTGCGGTACACCCTGGTGGTGACAGTGGCCTCCTCGTCAGAGCTGGACTGGTCAGCTCTCATTTTCTCCTGATGAAGGCAGCCCAGCAACGTTAAAAACCCCAAATGTCATTTTGAATTCTCAGATTAGAGCCCTGAAACGAGGAACTGCTGAGCTGTGCTTCCTGTCTGACAGTCCACTAAGACGAAACTCGATAAAAGGCTAAAGAAACAAAATGATTTTGAGATTTCTGAGTGAGCTAAAACACATGAGAAGGTTTTGTTTCAAAGTCACGAGGTAACAGATTATCGGGAGATAATGAGAGGAAGGAAGTTGTTTGTGACTCTTACCTGGMCTTTGTGCTGAGCCTTGCTGCCTCCCTCCTCCTGTCCTCTGCTTGGTCCCGCTACGCTGCTGTCCTCCTGAGGCGTCYTCTTCTTGGCGGCCTCTTTGTGACCTCCGTTCTGAGCCGGCGGCCGCTCCAGTGAGTCCGACGGACTTTCAGCGCTGAATGATATTGAGATTTCATCGTGTGAGTTCTGGACGGGCAGAGAAGCTGTAACGAGTTGTGTCGAACAGTCGGGGGTCCTACCTGCCCTCTTCGGCGTTGGCGCCGTGTCCTGCAGCTGCTGACTCCGCGGCGGCGCCGGAAGCCTCGCTTCTCCAACCTGAAACTGAAGACATGTCTTTTTCTGCTTGCCGTACTTGCTCGAGGATYGCGTTGACTTTCTCTTCGGTCATCTCCTCTTCCTCCATGCCTCCTTCCAGCTTTATATCCTCCAGCAGACTCCTCAGTTTCTCCTGGGTCATCTCCTCCTCTTCTTCTTCCTCCCGTCCGTTTCCTGAGCCGGCGTGTGCGGCGACATCATCTTTTAGTTTTCCTTCCAGAAGTTCTGATGAGACTCGACCTTGGAGGGGGTCTTCTGTCCTCTTTACGGATTGCTCTGCAGCCCGCCGGTCATTATCCGGCCTCTCCAGAGACGCCGCTCGTTCTCCTCTAGTCAGGGTCGTATCTTCGGGTCCAACAATGGGAGGCGCCGAGCCGGGGTRMGGGGCCCTGGAGTTGCTGGKGGTCTGAGCGAGGGTGAGGTCACTAGGTCTGCTAAGCGAGGTCTTGGTGGGGGACTCTACGCTAGCATCGCCCTCAAAGAACTCATCGGAGCGCAGCGGGGTGGGGGGGACGTAGGTGAGGTCTGTTGGGGTTTTCAGTTCCAGATCATAATTGTGGTACCCTGGATTGATGGCAGGAGTAAAAGGATTAGAGGATCGATGAGGGAGGGAGAGAAGGTGGGGAGGGAAGGAGGGAGAGGTAAAGTTGTGGCGGTGATGAAATGAGAAACACTTGTGTGACATTTAAACATGGCCGCTGTTCAGAAGTCAAACACAAACACTCAATCACCACTTCATAAAGTTATCAAGCTGAACTGTTTAAAAGATTCAAAGCTTCAAAATTCAATTATGTTTTCATCTGAAAGTCATCGTTTTTGCACAGCTGCTGAAAATTTAAGATGAGGGTTCAGCTGAAGTTTCTAACCACTTTTAAATATTTTACTTATTAAATCACTGAAAACATACAACTCTTGGCAGGGCCGGCCCTAGCCATTTTCGCACACTAGGCAAGATTCCAGATGATTCCCATTGTACGATTTTCTAAATCTCACTAACAATTTACATCTTAAATTAAACCATTTTGTCTCTGATATTTTTTTTATCTTTATAAACCAGGTGGTCTTATTAAAACAGTTAATATAATTAACTTGAAACAGAATACCAGAAGACTACCTCATACCTGAAAACATCTGCTGACAGCAGCTGTGGAGTGAAGCAGTTTTAGGGGGGGGGTCCTGAAAATTTTGTAAAAGATCTATTCAAAACTCTGTATTTGCCAGCCATTTGAAGATAATTTTCTTAAACTCTTGGGATTAACAAAACACTGAAAACCAGACTTTAACCTGAACTTTATCTGAGATCAGAAATGAAACTTTTATTTTATTATTTTGTTTTATATTTACTCACTGAGCACCAGCAGTTAGTCTTGACCGCATCATATTTTATCAYGAAATATCATCTGTACAAAATAACACCTCAGAAACCCACAGAACAGTTACCTTCCTAAACCCGAGGAACCAGATTATTCTACACACTCAATCAACTACACTCTGATAAAAAGTTATGAAATGTTTTTATTTGTGACGCCCCCGGATGGACGGCGCCCTTAGCATCTACCTACACTGCCTACGTCCGAGTCTCTTGTGTTCATGTTGTTCTGCTGCATGCGAGTACTACAGTATGACTACAGTACAGCATTTAATTAATGAACAGTGTGTACTTGTGTGTGACTTCTGAACSAGCCTTATAAAACAGGCACAATATGAAAAAGGGATGAAGACACAGTGAGAAATAAAAGTACAACAGACAAGACTATAAAACGTGAACTAAAATCTTGACTAAATTCTAACTAGTTGCAATAACATCATCAGGCAAGTCTTTTGTAAAAGCACTTATTTTTGCATACAGATTTAAAGACWTGAATGAGGTCCTGCACACAATGTTTCTGATGTCTTTGCCACACCCACTGATGATCAATAACTAAACAGATTAAAACCATAAATGGGAAAGAGTTGTTGTGCCTTTATATATACATGGAAACAATTCTCAAAGCAATGTTTGAAGGCATCTAATGGCCTCTGTTGTAAATGTCACTACGAAGAATGTCGGTGCATGACCTCATTACAGAGCTTTAAAGGGATCCCCGATTAGTTGTAACCTTAGACTTCATTTGATAAAGATATATTTTAACTGTAAAATAAAGACTAAAAATACTGTAGGCTGTTTAGTTTAGTAAATTTTTAAAAATATGTTTTAACATGGACAGAGCCATTTTATTCACACACAAAGCATTCTGGGTAAATGATGACGTGGATAGGTCCTCGGTGAGAGGCTGCTAGCGAGCTATCTCCACCCTGAAGGTTAATCTTGGACAATATCTGATGATCAACTCTTTTAAATGAAACCAGAGAGCGTTGACAGAGAGGAGAAGGTAGAAATGACTCAGCCTGGAACTGAAAATATAGATGGAGGACAACAGAGCTGCTTCATGGAAGAAGAGCTTCAGCTTTGCCTGTTAGCGTTAGCCCCAATGCTATCACATAATATCTCAGTGCTACACATTCTCCTCTCGTCACTGAGGTCTCTATCCACATGACAGAGAGGGGAACGCAAAAAGGACCCAGCTTGCTACTGAAAATATGGATGGAGGACCTCAGTTTAGCTTGGTAGT